AAAAAACTCTTCTTTGTCTAAATAGTCAGCGTTGAAAACTTTAAAAAACTCTTCTTTGTCTAAATAGTCAGCGTTGAAAACTTTAAAAAACTCTTCTTTGTCTAAATAGTCAGCGTTGAAAACTTTAAAAAACTCTTCTTTGTCTAAATAGTCAGCACTGAAAACTTTAAAAACTCTTCTTTGTCTAAATAGTCAGCACTGAAAACTTTAAAAACCTCTTCTTTGTCTAAACAGTCAGCACTGAAAACTTTAAAAACTCTTCTTTGTCTAAACAGTCAGCACTGAAAACTTTTACTTACAGACTCTTTAATCAATAGCTGCTCCGAACTTAATATATGTTTGATAATTAAATGGGTACTTACAGACTCTTTAATCAATAGCTGCTCCGAACTTAATATATGTTTGATAATTAAGTGGGTACTTACAGACTCTTTAATCAATAGCTGCTCCGAACGTAACATATGTTTAATAATTAAATGGGTACTTACAGACTTTAATCAATAGCTGATCCGAACTTAATATATGTTTGATAATTAAGTGGATACTTACAGACTCTTTAATCAATAGCTGCTCCGAACTTAATATATGTTTGATAATTAAGTGGGTACTTACAGACTCCTTATATTATTTTTTTATCAGTTGTTTTATTTAAGCCAACTTTTTTATTAACTTGGTTCGTTCTCAGGTTATGGTATTTCCCTGCCATCCCCCTCCCGAAGTGGTTCAGCCGTACGTCTGAGGGCTAATATAGTTTGAAGCCTAACAACACTAAACATCAGGTTGCGATACCCACAATGGACGTAGCACAAATAGCCTATTCTGTAGACAACAAGAGGTTTTAAAAGTTTTCAGTGCTGACTGTTTAGACAAAGAAGAGGTTTTTTCCACTTAATTATCAAACATATATTAAGTTCGGAGCAGCTACTGATTAAAGAGTCTGTAAGTATTAACTTAATTAACAAACATATATTAAGTTCGGATCAGCTATTGATTAAAGAGTCTGTAAGTACCCACTTAATTATCAAACATATATTAAGTTCGGATCAGTTATTGATTAAAGAGTCTGTATTAATATATGTTTGATAATTAAGTGGGTACTTACAGACTCTTTAATCAATAGCTGCTCCGAACGTAATATATGTTTGATAATTAAGTGGATACTTACAGACTCTTTAATCAATAGCTGCTCCAATCAATAGCTGCTCCGAACATCACGTGCTTCTCTCCAACAAGTGTTTGATGAACCGGAAGCAACTGTGGTCAAGGAGTAAGCCATTATTACTCCAGTAATTAATTTGATCCACGTATTTTAAGTAAGCCACATCCATGTACGACTTGCATTAGTGTCCGAAAGGGTCATACATGCCTTATTAACAAACGCGTTCCGGTCAGAACGACGGACATACGGACACGTCTTCGTATTTTTTGAGAGCTGACTTTGATCAACGCTGCGTAACGGGGAGGTATGCCGTCTACTGAGGCGCCCTCTAGTCGTAAACTTTTATATCATAGTTTTGGTCAGCTACTTAAAAAACGAAAATGTTTTCCTGTCGGTGCGGGAGTTCTATGTTGTTCCTCTGGGGGGGGGGGGGGGTATCTAAGCAACTTCAATATAAATACATTATGCGAGCCAATTGTACTTAGCCAGTGGGGGAGAATGTGTAAGATTTTTAACAAGCCAGTCTGTGATTCGCTTACTTTACGTAAATTCTTAACCAGGTTATCCATAGGGAGTGTCCTATAGAGGACCCCAAAAAGTACAACTGTATTGTTTATTCACATTATTACACGAGTGTCATTTTTTTTCCTTACGCCTTTACCAAAAAAAAAAAAAAATGTTGTAATCGAGTTTAAAATTTTACCACCGAGTGAGTAAGGCATTAAAAATATTATTTTTATAGTTTTATGCTTTATTTATTGTGATTAATATTTGATCACTTTCATTAAATTTAGATTATTTTTGTTTTTATCCTATTTTTGCTAAACAAAAATAAAAGTCAACTATTAAAGATTTTGCGGACCTGGTGCGATGCATTTAAATATTTTTTCTTGTCTGGTTATCACTTCTTTCATTGTTGTTTTTTATCGGTTTCAACATATTTATGGTTAACACTCGTTTCATTGTTTTTTTTATCTGTTTCAACATATTTATGGTTATCACTTCTTTCATTGTTGTTGTTTTTTATCGGTTTCAACATATTATGGTTAACCCCTGTTTCATTGTTTTTTATATCGGTTTTAATATATATGGTTAACACTCGTTTCATTGTTGTTGTTTTTATCTGTTTCAACATATTTACACATAGATGAGTTTGTTATTCATTTATAAAGTAAATGCTGGGGTTGGGGGGGCAATGTTTGGTTAAATTAGAAACCCCTTCCAAAGCTAACCAACAATGAGTAATCCCAACATGAGAAACGTTTGAAAATATTTTTATTTTTTACGAGTCTAAAAAAAAACAACACCAAAACACTCGATCATAACAGCCTGTTGAAAATACAGAAACTATGAACTTGCGTTGTGTATATTTCATAAAAGTTCCAACATGGCGCTAGAAGCACGTGTGTTGAGAAATCTTTATAAAGTCGTTAGCTGGTTGAACAAATTGTACCATTTAAAGGGACATTGTAACTAAATGTATGGGTTTCGCTGTGTTTAAATATATGATTTTCTTCTTTTATCAACGTTCCATGTGATGATTTTATATATAAAGTTTTTGAAACAGCTGTGGGTGAGAAAGTACCTTTATTACACGATCACGTACATCGTTCAAAGGCAAATACAATAAAAAAAAAGTAATCTTAAATGCGATTTTTTGATTGGATGCTTATGTAATTCTAATGTATTTGTTCTTTGAATTTTGCACGTGGTAATGTCCCACTGTTAGAGACGAAATGCTGTACCCCATTAAGTGTAATACCCCATTACTAGCTGCTCCAAAACTTAACATATGTTTGATAATTCAGTAGGTACTTACAGACTCCATAATAGCTGCTCCAAAACTTATTATGTGTTTGATAATTAAGTGGGTACTTACAGACTCTTTAATCAATAGCTGACCGAACTTAATATATGTTTGATAATTAAGTGGGTACTTACAGACTCTTTAGTCAATAGCTGATCCGAACTTAATATATGCTTGATAATTAAGTGGGTACATACAGACTCTTTAATCAATAGCTGCTCCGAACTTAACATATGTTTGATAATTCAGTAGGTACTTACAGACTCTTGAATAATGGCTTACTCCTTGACCACAGTTGCTTCCGGTTCATCAAACACTTGTTGGAGAGAAGCACGTGATATAATGGCTTACTCCTTGACCACAGTTGCTTCCGGTTCATCAAACACTTGTTGGAGAGAAGCACGTGATATAATGGCTTACTCCTTGACCACAGTTGCTTCCGGTTCATCAAACACTTGTTGGTGAG